AATAGGTCTTATATATAGGACCAACATCAACTCTTAAATTAAGTCCTACCTTAAGGACCGGAGGAGTACTTTATATTGAATGTTGTGTTTTTGATACATTACCTAAATTGGTGTTTAGTGTATTGATTGTTGTGTTTTTTATGCAAGATTAATGATATGTCAATGGACCTGGGGCTAAGCAAATTCCAGATAGTCATGGATGTGGTTGTTAGGTGATTCCACTTTATGAGGGTAAGCAATATACTCTAATTGCTTTATTTTTTAATTTTTTTTCTACTTTTGAATGATTTTGATTTGATATACAGAGATTTTGTAGTCTGAAAATTTCTCACTCCCTCAAATCTTTAATATAAGTCACTTTTAATTATCTTACACACATTAAGAAAGAGTCAAAAGTTGGTTGCATCCCTAAAATTGTCAAAAAGTTCTAGAAGCTTCCAACATTGCCCTTATCAGGTACAATAAATCTCAAAGATTGGGTAGTATTTCCTTGGATAAGGCATATTTCTCAACGCCTTATCTCCTCATAAAACTCATGAAATAGAACAACCTAGTCAAGTCAACACTTCTTAATTGCAGAACCAGCCACTGGCATCTGTGGAAGGAAAATAATTGATGTGAGACATCTTGCAAAGTGACTAATATTTAGAACCAACCAAAAATATCCTCCTAAGAGGTGACTAACATTAAGGAACAAAGTAGTGTTTGCTTTATCTATAATGAGGATCACTTTTGTTTACAAATATCAGTTTCATGCTTGGTTTTGCAATCAATAAAAATAAACCTACTGTTCCACCGAGCCAAGCTCATCATGTGCCTTATTCATGGCTCTCCTCACAAAACACTATTCACAAGCTGCTTATAAATTGTATGGAATAAAATATTGGCATGTTAGGCTGCGTTTTAGCTGGCTCCATGTCATTAAATGTATTCAGCGATGAGTGAGCATTTAAAATTCAAAATCCTGCTCAGTTCCTGCCGAAACCATTATCCCTTTATTCACACAAAGAATGTTGCATTTACTTTCAGTGGAAGATTGGGAGGTTCTCATGACAATTCGTTCACTCTAGTCGGAGGCGATGGAGAAGAAGATGAAGTGGTAGACGTTTCCAAATTTAATTAATGTGGCATGCGTTTTTCCTTGCACACCATTTTGTTATATTCTGTTTTTGAGTTAAGTTCAACCATTAAATGCAAGGTGGTGGGTGGTTCGTTCAACCTTCTACTATCACATCAAGGAGAGATGCGTATTCTAATGTTTGTAATCTTCCTTCATTCTTCCTTTCGTTTCTGGTTTTTTCCCCTTCTTGCTCCATTTTTATTTCCTTCCGCTGATTTCACTTTTCTTTATTGTTCTTGGATTTTTTTTTTTCCCACCTTTCTTTTGCAGCTTATCAATGAAAGAAGAGAACAAAAAGCATGTGTTCTGTCTCTGTTTTCACCTTATTTGCTTGAGGCAGCTCTGCTATAGTGTTAAATGGAAAATCTATTTGACTTTATTTTTCCTTTAATCTGCATGCGTCAAACATGTTGAAGTGTATATTATTTGTTTTTGACTTCTTCTTTTGTGCCAGGCATGTGGGTTTCTGCCTTGAAGGTTAACAAAGTGAGGGATGTGTACTGCAAGGAGGTGACCTAAGTATGGAAGGTAGTATTCCTTATGTGTTCTTCATTTTTGATACATTTTCAGTGTTGCATGATAATCCAATTCCTGTTCTCTCTAACCATCTCAGAAACATGAGAAAAGTCACCTGTATGCTGCATGGTGAGTGTGGGGAGTCTACATTGCGAGGATTACAGGCTGTTCCTAACAGGGACAACAAAAGTGTGTCGTTATTCAGTATGCTCATTCATATGTCATGGACGCTTTGGTATTTTGTTGCATGAACTTCAAGTTGTTTGCTTAATTTGGGACTTATCCTTAATTTTTTTTATTTTTTTTTTACGTAGCCCATGTTTCCCCTTTGCTTGGTTTATAAACTTTGATGTTATACTATTATATGAACTTATCTTCATAAGGATTCTGCAATTTCCATTTACCTCAATTGTTATATTAATCACAATGCTTCTGCAAGTGGTTGAGGTGATATGATGGTTGCTGTAAGATATATTCCTTTAAATGCTTAAATGCAATCCCTGTCATAAAAGTATTGTTAACTGGAGCAATATAGATCTTGTCAGCATCTTTTTCTCATATTGAAGAATGAAGATGCAGGGTGCGGGCACCATGATTGGATGAAGTGTACTCACCTCTAAATGCAATACTTCCTTTTGAGAATTTTGACAATGGACATTTTCCTGTAATTCGTTAAATATTTACTTTTACATTGTGTAAATTTTTTATCGCTCTGTTTACTTGTACGAACAGTTGGAAGATTAAAAGATGTCCATTTCGAGAAGGGACATTTTCATGTAAATTTTTTCGAATATCCACTTATAAAACTCAGTCCTTTCAATACCTCTCATGGTTTAATGAGGGTTTTTGGGTTTATTTGTCTCTTAATAAATTAAAATAATGATTAAATCCGTTCTGAAAATCAAATCCCATTGACTAAATTATAATAGCCAGGAGTTGAACCTGCATAGATGGTACAATAAACTATTGTTTTATATGGATAATCTGTTAATGTATGAGCCTGGACGATGCAGGGACATACTTCTCTTCCATTTAGGTTCATATTATATTGCTTTCTACCGTTGAAACATGGTTAAGGTCACATATTATCTAAATTCACGTAAAAGTATTTTTTCTTTTTGGTAAATTTTCTCATCATTATTTCTGCAGAGCTTAGAAGGGAATAGTAAACTATACACTTTTTATGCTCACCTTTTAATATATGTTGTTATGGTTTGTTTCTGATGTGTTTCCATATGCATGTGATTAGTGTTCTCTTACTTTATCATAGTAATGAACATGCTGTATATCTTCTACTAAAAGTGGGGGCATTTAAACTCTCTTATCTAAATACATAACATTCAAACGTTATTTATCCCTTCATATTTGGTCTTTCTTTTGTTCCTGAACTCATCACGCTGAAATATCTCATCTGTTGTCCATAGTCAAAATTCAGGAAGGTTTTTCTTTTTCTCTTTTGCAGTTAAAGTCGACAATGCTAACTGCTTTGTTTTTGGATACATTATTAATGACTTATAATATAACATATTATGAGGTTACTCTTCCTATTCTCTCTATTCTTAATTAATCATGCATCAGCTTTTGAACATTGGAGTTGCAGATACATAGAAGAGGAAAATATGCTGAATCATATTGCTAATACGTTTTGATTCTCCACTTTGACAGTGTTGAAGTTGGATCAGTCGTTGTCAATACAGCTATATAAAAACTTGGACGACCGAACGAATCATGTGTTAACAGTGATCACTACGCAGTTTTTATGTTTCCCCCAAGCTTATTGTTAGCAAGTGTCAAAAAGATGTTAGTTGAAAATGTAGCAATTGCAGTATCCCCATATACACATGTTTCGCCGTGTCAGCCCATTATGCTTCAATATACGCATTTAATTCCCTTGCACAGGTTCACTGTAAATTATGATTCCATATGAATATAAATGTGTTGATATAATCAAGTTGACTCCTTTTGCTTGCATGCAGAGATACACTGGGATTTTTCGGGGCTGATGAATGCATCTTATATGAAACTTCATAAGCTCCTTGAGTGGTATTGTTACCACATGAATACCATTTAGTACTTATTAATGGGTATAAGTCAAAAAATTACACATGACACAAGTACATAAGCCTATGAAAAGGATCATAAATATAATTTAGTATTGATATTTCTTAAGTCACATAGAATAGGAATAATACATGAGTCTATTACATAATGATTCTTTTCAGCATGATAGGATTGACTTTGATTATCTCTATTGCTGATAGAGCTATGGATCAAATATGAATGATTTGTATATGTATCAGGAGTCTGCCCAAAAATTATTGAATATAAAGCTGATAGAGCAACCATTTCTGTTGTGTTATGGTTCGGAGGTAGTTGTTTAGATGTTCTGCATTTAGTTCCCAATGACTCATGTTCAGTTTATTTAAGATGTAGGATATATGTCGCTGTTGTTCAGTGTATTTTGTTTCTTATTAATGAATTATCTTTATGTTTGAATGGTATTGTCATTCTTTATTTGATATAAAATTTGTATGTAATTCTAATTACAAATCAAAAAAAATATGGCCAAAATTATACATGTAAATGTTGGTATATCTTAGAAAATTAGCTTCATAACAGCATATTAAATGATTATATCCAATTATGACCCTCAAGATATCCATTTATAAAGGATCCCAGGGTTGGTCAAATATTAGACTAAAGAACTAAAACTAAACATCTTTTCGCTCGCCCTCAATATATTCTGCTATGTATGAAACCCATGTATTAGAAAGGAATGGTGATCAGAAGCCCCCGAATAAATAGGTTTCAATACTTACAGGTTGAAATTGTTTCTCATCTCAAGTTTATGTTATGTTTGTCCAGTTGATGCAGACTTACAGGAAAAAAATGAAACGGAATGTGTGTGTGTGTGTGTGAACTGTATGATATGAGAGTGTGAAATAAAGACAAGGAATAAGGCTTAGATTTAACCAAAGTTCCAAATTAATAGAGCGGGGCGGGGGGGATCATGGGTGTCTAACAAAAAGGATGTGGAGGAAAATTTGATACATTTCCTCCCTCCTTAAATATAATACTCTCTCTCTCTGTTTGAATTTTAACATCAAGGACATTGTGAGTACCTACTTCCTACTAATTGCAGTTTCAGGTTTGTCACACTCACAACCTGTGCTTAATATTGTCACAACAATCATCATCAACATCTATTGTAGAACTAAACATCAAATCTTACATTCGGGGAATATAAGGAGGATGAGTTTTACAATAGGGAAGCACATGTTGTAGGCTTTTGTATTATCATATGCAATGAATGGGATTAGCTAGCAATAATTAGGACTTGGACCATGAGAAGGGGGCTGATGGGCCATATGCTTATTAAATGGGCTTATGAGAAGTGGGTGGACAAGAAGAGGTGAACATAAAGTTAATTACATATACACAATTAAAGATAACAATTGAACTTATGGATAACAATAAATTGTGAGAAAAAGGCCAAAGGATGCCATTCCAAGTATTAGCAAATCTTTCATATTCACGTCCCCCTGATATCCAAACTGATATCAGTTCTGTGAAAACAAGCATGGCTTGACGCCAGATCTCCACAGGATAGCTAATAACATTTGCCAAAACTTGAGCATTTCAGATCGGAAGATAATGCCATGCTGTTGAATCATCTTTTAACATGTTGGAAGAAGAGAAAGAGAAGACAGAGTGAGCAAAGCTCAACAATACAAGTCATAACCCATAAAGCCAAACTTTGTTCATTTTCATCTCCTCTGCTCATGTCACTTATTACTTGAGCTCATTATTACTGTCTTCAAAGTATGTCATTTCTATAACATCTCAAATTTTCTGACTTAGGAAAAAAAGAAAAAAAGAAAATGTATTTAAAATTATTTAGAGCCTAAATAAAAATGGGGGAAATTGTATAATATTAATTTTGAGGGCTTGAAAATTTTATGAAAAATTTTATTTTCCCGAAAATGGCTTAAATAATTTTAAAGTTAATTTTTGGGGCAGAAATAGCTTGTTTTTCTAGAAATTTTAAGGAAAAATAGTTAGAGGTTTATATTTGAGCCAAAAATTTTAGAATAATTATTTCATGAAGTAAAGAAACTAATTGAGGGATAAAACCCTTAAAATGAGCTAAGGATTAATTTCTGAAATTAAGTGTTATTTTCTTGAAAAATTCAAGAAAAATAGTTGGGACTTGATTTTTGACCCAAAATTTTTATTAAAATTATTTTATGCCTCAAAGAGACTAATGGAGAAGGAAAATCCCCACAAAACATTGTGGCAGAATTTCTGGATATATTTATATTTCAGAAAAATAGGAGAACGGGTGGAAATGGAAGAAAAGAAAGAAATAATTGGTATAAAAGTCATTTCCCTTACTCCTAAAAATGCCACACGTGTTCTCTCGTATGATAACCCATCAGAAGCCATTTCCCTCTTCATTTTTCAGCTGCAATCGGAGAGAAAGTCAAGAGAAAGAGAGCTTGAGAACCAGAGAAGAGCAACACCGGACAAGTGATCGGAGAAGGACTTTGGTGCATGCAACCATTGTTTCAGACCAAGGTAGGTCTGAATATCACTCTCATACGCTTCTTTCTTCTATTCTACACGCTGTTGAAGAGTTGAAGATAGATAAAAGTTTTTAGTTATGGAGGAAAATGGGTGTCTTAATGAATTAAGGGTAGCTGATCGTTGATGGATGCATGGTCGGGTGAGTTGTGATGTTGCATGTTGTCAATGATTTCTGCATGTTGAGGACCGACTGGTTGTGACCCTGAAACAGGGGCTTCATGTTTCGAATTATATGGTTTTGGGTTACTGCAATCTTTTGTTGCATGTTGCTTAATTGTTTAGAGATATTCACTGTCAAAGCTTGGTTAAAAGTTTCAGAGAGTGGTGCTGGATGCTCTGAATTTTCGAAGGAGGGAATCTAGCTTAAAATTTCTGGTTGCATGTGGATTTTCTTCCTCTGTTTTCCAAGGCTGAAACAGGGATTAATGGTTCAACGAAATGGCTCTAGCTTAATGAGAAAATGAAGAGCATAAATGTGTGTATATGACCGAAAGCTTGGGTGTGCAGTGTTGGGGATTTAAATTAATGTGTATATGTCTACGTTGTTGATGGCGTGAGGTGTGATTCTGGAATTGCAATTTTCAGAATTACAATGGTTGTTGTTTTGCATGTCCTTAGCTTCAGGTTCTTGGTTTTTGTGGTTAT